GAAAGTTCAGATGAAGAGGATGCAACAACTTCAGCAACCACACAACAAGAATCCATTGCAACGAGTAAACCGAAAAGAGTTATCAAGAAACCCGCTCGGTATTGTAACATGGTGGCTTATGCACTTCCGGTGATTCATGATGGAATCCCCTGCACCTACAAAGAGGTAGTACAGAGTGTAGAAAGTGCAAAATGGAAAGAGGCAATGGATGAAGAGATGAAATCTCTCCACAAGAATCAGACTTGGGATTTGGTACAACTCCCTAAGGAAAAGAAGACAATTGGTTGCAAGTGGGTATATGCTAAGAAGGAAGGTAATCCAGGAAAAGACAACATCTGTTTCAAAGCAAGATTGGTAGCAAAAGGCTATGCTCAGAAGGAGGGGATAGATTATAATGAGGTATTCTCCCCAGTTGTTAAGCATTCATCAATTCGTATTCTGCTAGCCTTGGTTGCACAGTTTGATTTGGAGTTAGCCCAACTTGATGTGAAAACTGCCTTCCTACATGGAGATTTGGAAGAGGAAATTTACATGTCTCAGCCAGATGGTTTCAAAGTCACTGGGAAAGAGAATTGGGCTTGTAAACTGAATAAGTCACTGTATGGATTGAAACAATCTCCTCGCCAGTGGTATAAGCGATTTGACAAGTTCATGATAGAACATGGATACACACGGAGTCAGTTTGATCATTGTGTATATTTTCGCAAACTTCTTGATGGTTCTTTCATCTATTTGCTCTTATATGTGGATGATATGTTGATTGCATCAAAGAGCAAAGTGGAGATTGACAGACTGAAAGCTCAACTGAGAATTGAGTTTGAAATGAAGGATCTTGGAGAAGCTAAGAAGATTCTTGGCATGGAGATTCAGAGAGACAGAAGAAAAGGCACAATCTGTTTGACACAGACCCAATACTTGAAGAAAATTCTAAAGAGATTTGGGGTAGATGGTAAGACCAAGCCTGTAAGTACACCTTTAGCTTCTCATTTTAAGCTAAGTGCTTCAATGTCTCCACGCACAGAGGAAGAGCGCAAGCATATGGTTCAAATTCCGTATGCAAATGCAGTTGGTGCATTAATGTATGCAATGGTTTGTACGAGACCAGATATTTCACATGCAGTCAGTATGGTGAGCAGGTATATGCATGATCCGGGAAAGGGTCATTGGCAGGCAGTTAAGTGGATTCTACGGTACATTCATGGCACAACTGATATTGGTTTGAAGTTTGAGAGGGATGATAGACTCAAACAAAATTTAGTTGGTTATGTGGATTCGGACTATGCTGGTGACTTAGACAAGCGTCGTTCCACAACAGGCTATGTGTTTACACTTGCTAAAGGGCCTGTAAGTTGGAGGTCAACTTTACAATCAACAGTAGCTTTGTCAACAACTGAGGCAGAGTACATGGCAGTAACAGAAGCTTTCAAGGAAGCTATATGGTTACATGGGTTGATTGAAGATTTGGGAATTGTTCAAGAGCACGTGAATGTCCATTGTGATAGTCAAAGTGCTATTTGTCTTGCAAAGAATCAGGTTCATCATTCCCGCACCAAGCACATCGATGTTCGATTTCATTTTATTCGAGAAATTGTGGATGAAGGAGATATTCTGCTACAGAAGATTGGTACCGCAGATAATCCAGCTGACATGCTCACAAAATGTGTCTCAGGGATCAAGTTCCAACATTGTTTGGACTTGGTCAACATCTCTCGGTGTTGAGCACCTTCAGGGTGCAGCGCCATATGGCGCATTAGAGGCAGCATTGATTGATCACAAAGATTGGATGGAAAAAATCTTGCCAAGGTGGAGATTTGTAGCAAATTGTCAACATTTTTTCTCAACCACCATCAACCACCCTCTCCTTTAACAACCACCATTCAACCACCATCAACCACCCTCAACCAAGTTGCCAAGGCTCTATCAACTACTTCCAACCACCATTCAACCACCATCAACCACCCTCAACCACCCTCAACCAAGTTGTCAAGGCTCTCCTATAAATAGAGATAAAGAGAGAGCAATGTAATATGTGTAGTGAAATTGTGGTGAGAGCAAAAGGGTGAAAGTGTGGTGAGTGCAACTGTAAGAGTGAGAAAATACAGATTTGAGAGAAACACCGAGTGTAAGAGTGAAACACCCGGTTAAGTGGGATTGTACTGGGTTGAGTTGAGTGTTTGTATCATTCCTCCAATAATATACAATCTGCTGCCTCCGTGGATGTACCCGATTTTGGGAAACCACGTAAATCTGTTGTTTGTGTTTTCGATTTTGGGAAACCACGTAAATCTGTTGTTTGTGTTTTATTTATGTTTGCTTTTGGTCCAGTATGCGCAACAGATACCATATATGAAGATCTCTCCAACAAGAGCCCTTTACTCTTGCAATACAATCCTATCTACAAGAAGGTTCCCGTGCTTGTCCACAACGGTAAAGTCATCTGTGAATCACTTGTCATTCTAGAATACATCGACGAGACATGGAAGCAAAATCCTCTGTTGCCTGAAGATCCTCACCAGCAAGCCAATGCTCGTTTCTGGGCCAAGTTTGGTGATGATAAGGTAATTGTTTAGGTCCTCTGTCCCTTCCATAATAATCAGTGATTTATATGATTGAATTGCCTGAACTTGATCAAACATGAATTGATTTGAAGCAACCTTGCTTTGCGCGTGGTTGCAGGTTTTGCAATCAATTGTGGGGGATGTGCTTATGAAGGAGGGAAAAGAGCTAGAAGAAGGGGTCCTTGCATCCTTGGAGAACTTGAAATATTTAGAAGAAGAGATAAGAGGAAAGAAATTCTTTGGTGGGGAGACTATTGGGCTAGCGGATATTGCATTAGGATGGCTTGCTTACTACCTTGGTATCTTTGAGGAGATACTAGGTCTGATACTGATAGACCAGGAAAAGTTTCCATCCTTAGCGGCATGGAAGCAGGAATTTGCAAATGCTCCAATCATCCATGAGAACTGGCCGGATAGAGACAAGCTGGTTAACAAGTTTGTTGCCATGCGTGAGGCCAAACTTGGAAAAGAAGCACCTAAATAAATGGTTTATGCAGTTTAATTTGCAGACCTTTAATGCTACTAGAACATATGAATAATTCAGATAGATGCAAATCACCTTTGATAGTGGTCCCTGCTATTGTTAGTTTCCTGTGGGTAGCTGGAGCTTCATCTTGAAGCCAATGACCAGAATCATGCATGTTATTGTCTCTGCTATGTTGTCCAATGAAGGAAATAAAAAACTCTCTTAAGTTATTTTCAAATGGCTTCAGCAGTGTCAAGATCAGCTTCAAATTCCACATGATGGACAGGCAATGGAGAGTTTCAAGAAAACAATTATGAAAGAACTCTCTTAATGTAGTAAACTTCGACCGTGAGCCATTTTTTGTGATTCGATCCGATAGTATTTTGCCGAGGAAATGGCACTGAAAAGAATCTGAAAAACAGATTGAAATTTCTTCAACAAAAGAACAGATTTTTCTCATCTGATTTAGTTTCAGGAACATATAACAGGGAATTTTCTTTCATTGCATCTTCACCATTCTGCAACTGTGATTTCCCCAGCATTAATTAAAAATTGGTGAAAGTTGGGAATTGTTTGAGATCAGACAATGTGTCACATAATGGATCGTGGATCAACTCGTGTCATCTGTGCTATATCGCTTCTCCTGTTTAGTCAAGAATTCTGTAACCGTTTTCAATTCGTACACCATTTTTTCCAAACTCGACTTTATGCAGTAAGAATAACTCTACGTGGAATTTGTTACATTGATGTGCGTTACACCTGGAGTAAACTTGAAAACATAACGTATCCTAGTGCCTGGGATGTGACGAGCCCTATTTGCAGATCATAACTGCTGAAATTTAGGTTTTTTATTTTTAGTTTTTTGCCAGAACTGGATTCTTATAGTTGCAAAAGAACTGCGATGATCAATTTCCTGCGTTTGTCTTTCACTTGACATGGTTATGTTTTGTTGTGCAGCCATGGATTGTTCGATAAGAGATTCATCACTTCGAAATTGGTGACCATGATGTTAGAGAAGGAAAATATGTCAAGCCACGCAGAGATTGTGAGTACTGCAATGAAGAGCTTGGAGTTCATAGCTCAAATGGGCTAGTTACCACATTCAATGGCAATGATGTGGATGGCACCATCACAGAAACAAGGATATTTCAGTTTCTTAGTTATTCAGGTGACAAAGACAACTTGAAGATTCAGACTATTTGTTTTTGGCTAAAGTTTCCAGATTGAAAGGTCCAAACCTTAAAAGAAGTCCGGACGAACTAAACGAGCTTGTTGACGGAAACAGGACAAAAGGAATTTAATTATGAAGGAAACATAAATAGCAAAAAATACTTGGATTTGTAGCCTATGCTTTTTATGCTACGATGAAATATATATTCTACAGATTGGAAGAGCAGGACTGCTAGTTTCAATTTCATTAAGCAGTCTCAAGTTATTTTAAAAAGTAATATAAAATTATTTTTAAGATTTTATCTATCAATTTAAATTTTTATTTGAGTTAAGATAGTTTCTTGATATTACATCAAACACGAATTTGATTTTCACATCTGGTTCGTGCAAGATAAGTTTCAAGCCTGGAAAGTTGTTATTGAGGAGATTTATTAGAGGTTAATATAAAACTATTATTGAGGTATCACCTCGCTGATTTGGAGTTAAAAATATTTATTTGACACACAAGGCACGCAAAAACTAGAGAACTGGTCAAGGGGAGAAAGGAAACTAGAAATTCTTTTTTTGAAAAAAAATTATATTCGTTTTCACTTGCATCTTTGAACATGTCTACTACAGTAATATCACCAATTAATTAACAACTGGTGGAAGTTAGGACCAACATGAGATCAGATATTGCGTCACATGATGGCGGATACATCACCACATATGTCATCAGTTGTTCTGTTCCGGGTGGAGCCACTCACGATTTACTCAACTTTTTTTCCGACTTCATTACAGACTTTCTTGCCTTAATATGAAGTCTTTCATGACGTTTATGATCCAAAACTGTGACCACATTTATTTTATTTCCAGTCTTGATCCCCCATAGAAGCCTCCTGGAATCACTATATATACACTTCGTTATATGCAAGGCCCTATCCACAGCTGCTGCTTATCCCTTCTCTTCCTGCTCTGCGCTGAGCATTTATCCTAGCTCTAGAGCATCTTACAGGTCCAATCTCCTAGATTTCTCTTTGTATTTCTCGGTGAACTTTCCAGTTGCTGATTCTTTCACTGAATCTGAATTAACGTGATGAGTAAATTCTATGCAGGTCATTGTTGAAGTTCTGCTTCATTGCTTAGAGAGAACTGGAGGATGGCTTCAGATAAGAGTGAGAATTGCCTTGCCTGGGCTGCAAAAGATGAATCAGGAGTTCTGTCCCCGTATGAATTTAAAAGAAGGTATGAATATCATATATAACGATAATGGCAATGAAAGAACTCATAGTCCTCGATGTTATTAACATATATTCAACTACTAATTGACTGTGAAAACTTCTGCAGGGATGTTGGGAAAGATGACATTTCAGTAAAAATAACACACTGTGGAATTTGCTATGCAGATGTTCTCTATACCAGGAACAAATTCAAAAAGTCATTATACCCAGTTGTGCCAGGGTGTGTAAAAGAATAATATAAATTATTTCTTATTACCTTACTAGATTAAGTTTATGAAATGAGATATTTCCTTGATATAATATCTCAGTCTTAGTAAGGTAGTGATGAACTTGTGCTGATGAGAAGGGAATATCACGGGGAATTTCTTGTTTTTCATTCTCCTTCAATTGACATGCTTATGATGTTTTATTTTGTTCAGTCATGAGATAGTTGGAACTGTTCAAGAGGTTGGATCTGATGTTCAACGCTTCAAAATGGGCGACCATGTCGGAGTGGGAACATTTATCAATTCATGCAGGGATTGTGAGTATTGTAACGATGGGCTCGAAGTGCATTGTGCAAATGGAGTTATTACCACCTTTAACAGTGTTGATGTCGATGGCACCATCACAAAAGGAGGGTACTCCAGTTTTATTGTTGTTCACGAAAGGTGTGCATACCTTTGGACTTTAGAATTCGCAGTGTGTGAAGCACATGATACATAAAATAACTTTCTTGTTGTCTTTAACAGATACTGCCACAGAATACCTGACGGTTATCCACTAGCTTTAGCAGCACCATTGCTGTGCGCTGGCATAACAGTCTACACTCCCATGATTCGTCACAAGATGAACCAACCTGGAAAATCCCTCGGGGTGATTGGACTAGGCGGCCTTGGTCACATGGCTGTGAAGTTTGGGAAGGCTTTTGGAATGAATGTCACAGTTTTCAGCACAAGCATATCGAAAAAAGAGGAAGCCTTGAATCTGCTTGGAGCAGACAACTTTGTAGTCTCGTCGGACACGGAGCAAATGAAGGTACGCAGTCCGATGAGTTTTCTCTAGCAGCTTACAGGGATTGAGATTTGCTAGTGGATTAATGATCCTTATTTGCAGGCTCTGGATAAATCCCTGGACTTCATTATTGACACAGCATCAGGTGAACATCCATTTGATCCATACATTACAACTCTGAAGACCGCTGGAGTCCTGGTCCTCGTGGGCGCTCCAAGTGAAATGAAGCTCACTCCTCTGAAGCTGCTTGTTGGTAAAGTGATTTATACAAGGAAAAAAATGAAAGGAAATGTCAGTTTAAGTGTCAGAATCCTGATTTCATTAATCTGGGTTTGCATTTTTCCTTACTTCGGCAGGTATGATATCCATTTCTGGAAGTGCAACAGGAGGCACAAAACATACACAGGAAATGCTGGACTTTTGTGGTACTCACAAAATCTACCCCAAAGTAGAAGTCATACCAATTCAGTCTGTGAATGAAGCACTTGAGAGGTTGATAAAGAATGATGTGAAATACCGATTTGTGATTGACATTGAAAACTCCCTCAAGTGATATATAGTATCCATAAAGGATGTCAGGCGATCTTCTAGTCCTCCGAAATGGAACACCAAGTCATCTATTTTGTATCATACAGTTTCGTTTGGCAATGAACTGAGAATAAGATAAAGTATTAGCATCTACTTTCCTATCCTAAAAAGCTAAAACAGCCTCTGAAATGCATGGTTCTTAAGGTTTTGTAAACCTATTAAGTATTACTTTCAGAGAGAATAAACTTGTGAATTTATACTTCATATCTATAGTCTTTTTTGCTCAACAATATCTGTGTTCTATGTTTGTTGTGTCTTTAACTTCCATCTGCATTAATTTGAGCTATTATTCTGGTCTGACACAACCATATTTTTTCTTGGACTTGAACCTGTCCTATTAGTCTAGAAATGCATCTGTTAAACCTTATATACAGACTATCTAGAATAGATCATCATCTAATTATGTTAGATTTATACCTAACGATTCAGGATCACTTGTTATATCATATGAACAACAAACCCAACACTAAGATAACATTAATCACCCGATTATCAAAATTCCTGCTAATTGGATCAAAATCACAACACTGATCCGGTGGAAAAAATCAGCTGGTTATATTTTTGTGCTTGTTATATATTGTTGCAGAGAGCAAATTGTTGAACATAATAAGAATTCTTAATTTCCAGAGAGCAAAAAGTTTACCATGTCAAGGTATGCATGCAGCTCCTTTATTTCCTTCATATATTCTTGGTCCTCTGTTAAAGTATCACTGTCGCAAGCACTCTTGTCTGATACTGGTATCTCCAGCTGAGCGGCACCGGTTTTTTGATGGACATTGTCAATTGAACACCTTCCAGCAACCGCTTCAATTTTCTGTTTACAACAAAATGCTGTCACGAGCAACAGAATCCGAACATACTCTTTGCGTTGTTCACAACAGTGGCTATCTTTTATTAGAATATGAGTTAGCTTATAAGTCAGACTGAAGTCACTACATTTTCATGGTCATAGTCAAAGAATCCAACTTCCCAACACTAGAATTTCCAAGTTGCTTGAGCAAGTCCACAGAAACTTATGCAAGGCATTGCTCACCATGTCCTGCTCTAGGCGACCAAAAGCTTCAAAACAGCTGGTTTCTTCGTTCCTTTCGATAATCCACGTCATAAACGCGATGTATATAATCGAAGTAGACGACCTAGACCTTAACTTATTCAGTACTGTCCACCCATTCAATGATTCATTTGAAACAGATACAACTCCTTGCTTACCCTTTCCTATGTTGTCCATTAACTCTGCATGGTACCAGAAAACTGGCAATAGTAATGGAAACGTTGACGAATATTCTGCCGCTGCTCTCCGATGGAAATTCGGTCACCAATATTCCATTGACAATCCCAGCGGCAATAGTTAGTTTTTTTTTTTTTTTTATGGAATAGACGACAAAATATTTCATCAGTAAATCATTTACCGAGAAAATGACCGAGAAAAATTGATCAATGTATTTTATTTTTTTGACACCAATATTCTGTTGGTATTAGCAATTATCGGTGAAAGTACCGACGGATAGAAATTCTAGACAAAACTTTGTCCGATGAAGTGTTTCAGTTGGTGATCCATCGGTGATAAAAGTTTTCAACGGAAAGGCGTTTTTCTATTTTCTAGTGGTGGCAACAATCTCTCTTTCTCTTGCTATATTACTCCTAGCAACTTACAGCCAACAAAAATGAATATTTTCTAGTCAAGATTTTCATTCCAATTCAAGCTCCGCTCTTAAAGTAACAAAACACAGTAAAGCAACTGACAAGGCATGTGAGTAGCAAATCCCCTAAGCAATTGTCAAAACAAACAAAACCCCAGAAAAGTTGACCTAAACACTCAATGAACTAACAAAACAAATCATGCCATTTCTATATCGTCGTGTTGAGCCAAGTCTAGATCCTTGTTTGAGTTGTTTCCCACCTATAAAATCAAAAACACTCGGTAATGTTCACTGAGAAGAAATCACATAACAAAAAAAGATACCCTTTTGCTTAAAAAAAAATCATCAAACAATAAAATTTGTTTGCTAACTCTTCAGTGATCTGAGACTTACCAGTGGTTCAGTTGAGCCACATACTTCAAGAGAAGAAGACAAGCAAGCCATTTCGGTGTTTTAACTGCTTTCTTGCGAGCTGCACATGATAATAAACTGTTTGGGATAAAGCCATTTATATATGTGCAGGAAGCGCAATTCTGTGACTTTGTTACCAGCCTTTTCTGCCATCTGTGTGCTAAATGCCAAGAGTACAGGGAGATTCGTAAGAGGTCTGGCGAATCACAATCCCCCTGATCTAACACTGGCAGTGGTCACAGCTCCACTGCTCCAGACAATGGAGTCAGGTAACACAGAGTAATGCTGCTGCTGCTGCAACATTCCTAGCAGGATCACCATGCATGTACCTTGTTTCACTCTAGATCTGGCATGTTATTCGCCAGATTATGCCGCTTAAGTCAACTTGTGTTGCTTTTAGAAGCATGTTGTCTTAAGATTATATCGCTAGACTGATGGAGTTTTCTTACATGGTCATTGTCAACGATTCCTTGTTTTCCGCAATTGAACTTAAGATACTAATAAGGTAAAAGAACAGGAAATTCTGCTAATTATCACTGTTTTGAAAGGATCGTGTGTTTTTCATATTTAATAAACCCAACTCACCCGGCGAGTTGATTAGCCCGATGAGTCATTTCGTGGGGCTAAATCGAGATAGCACGGACTGAGATTTTTTGAAAGAAGAAGCAATGATCGAGGAGCATATCCAGCCTTTTCTACTTTCTCAGGCGGTAGTGCTCGATCTGTTTGCCAGATTATCATCAACCTCATCCACTGACGCAAGTTTCCATAAAAGCACGCCAAACAATTTTACAGGCAAAGTGCTTTTCAAAGAAATTATCTTACTCTTTTCCTTTCTTCGAAAAGAAGGCATTCTGACATAATTTTTGTTTCCTGATTTGTTAAGCAAAACGTTGCATTTAAGGTGGCAACTCTAGAGAGTTGTGACTGAATAATCCTTTTTTTTTTTTTCAATTGACAAAGTGGCTAAATCACGAGAGCCTTAATTCAAAAAAAATATCTTTCATTAAAATAGTATTTGATGTTTTTTCAGTTTTTTTTAACTTTATCCTTTACTAATTTAATTTTTTAAAAGATTTTTTTCAATTATATTTTGCAATATTAGATTATTTTTAAAATAATACTCTATAATTTTTTCTATTAAAACTTATACTAGTAATGGAATATTATTTTTTTAATTTTAACCTTTAATATTAAGTTTATTAAAAATAAATTTTATAATTTTTTATAATTTTTTTTTATATAAATTTACCTCATATCCAAATCTGAATTTAATAAGATAAAATGAGCTACTCAAGTTTTTTTTTTAATTTAATTTAATTTAATTTACATTAAACAAAATAATTTCATGTACTATGTAGAGCGGGGAATGATATAGTAATAATTATTAAGAGACAAAGCCTTTACTGTCACTGACAATGACTGAAAATGGCCCCATATTGACCGCTTGCAGGCCCACTCATGTCTCAGGCTCCTCTGCATGCATGGCAGTAGCTGCGCAAGGCCGAGACACCAACAAGCCGCTGTTTTCCCATAAGATGTGGTCATCACCTTCCGAAGACAAAACAAAACACGCTTGAAATCTTGGGTTCCATCTACCAGATCTCCGACAAAGTTAGAAAACTTTGCCTAATTAAGCACATTGATTCGGAGATTCTTTGATTCAGATATACTTTGTTGAGATTATTTTCGAATTAAATTAGAAGTTTAAACAGTATAATGAAATCATTAGATAATAGTGGCTTTTCACCATGCCATAATCTCTCAACATCCAATTTCCCATTAAGAAAAAAAAATAAAATTGGGAAGGGAATTAAGTATTATCCTCTGAAGGGTCAATGACGGATTAATAATTTAAATACAGAAAAAAGATTAATACCCCAGAGGAAAATAGAAGTAGTAGCCAGGTAAGCAGCCACTCAAACAACATCGGCCATAGAAATCCTAAAAGACCTTTTCTTTTCTTCTCATACTTCAGCATAGCACTACACGTCTACCCTCTGCTGCTGCTCCTCCTCCTGCCCCCTTTCGGTTTTCTCGAAGCCTCCTCCCTCCCTCTCCCCTTCCTTCCTCCCTCGCTCTCCCTCACCACGCCTAACCCAATCAACAGTTTCTGGTGTTGCATCTGTACGTATAGCTGTGACAGTGACGGTAATTAAGTTTATTAATTTGTTCACGTATACACACCATTCTTTTTTATTTCATGATTAATAATATTTTCAGATCTTATATTTTTAAAAAAATACTAAAAGATAGTCCAGGATTCTTTTTTCTTAGATCATGGAAATTATTTGATATTTTCTATAATTAAATGCCTTTTTGTTTGTTTGTTTAGGACTGAAAATGCATGCAGTTTTCCTTGTCTTTGTAAACACCTTACTATTATCAAGATTATATTTTTTCTCTCCAAGAACTATATACTGTAACGAGTATGTATGCCCTTTTTTCCCTTATCATGGTGTTGAAAATATTTAGTTAATAAACAAAGTATTGTGATGTAGCTGAAATTATGTTTTTTTTATAATCATCGAATTAAAAATATTACATAGTTTTACATTAGTTCAATTTAAGCTTTTGTTAACCTACTTCTTCAAGCCCAGGACAGCTACAAGCCTACAAAACTTAAACACTGGTTTATAGATAGTTTCAAATTAATAATTTTTTAGTATTTTAATATAATAATATAAAAAATATTTTGAAAAACGTTTTCTGCTGCAGTTTTTATCTCTGTGTCACGTGATGCTTGTTTTTGGAACTTTTCATGACATGGGCTCTTTGACATTTTCGTTCATGCATCCTTTTTTTTTCTTTCATGTTTCTGAGTCCTAATGGCTGTGACATGGTATTGGAACCGAACCTGCCCTTTCTTTAACAACCTTGAAGAGTCTGTAAAATGTTTCAACCATCTGGGATTTTCTCTCTCTCAATGAATTGATTTTTGTTTTGTTGTGAAAAGTATTGATTTTTAGAAAGAATTTTTTATTAAATTAGAATTAGTTAATTATAGAAAAATGTGGAGTGGTATTATTCGACAGTGGTTAAGTTATAACGGTAGGTATAGAGCTCAGGTTTCTATTTTGATTTGTCTCATTATGCTTTTGACTCGAGACAAGCATTTTGATTAGTATATGATTTTGTTTCTCTTTTCATATA